AGCAAGAGCGGCGCGCATTTGAAAATATTCGAATGCCTCCGTTCTGCCAGCGTGCACCCCAGCGCGCGGCTGCCGCGGAGAGCCAGAGCCGTCGCGAAAACCGCCGACGGTCAACGTGCGGCCGCGGGCGGCTGAAGGCGGCGGCCGCCGCTCGCGCCGCGCCGGCCCCCCCGAGAAACAAACTCCAACGGGGGTCGGCGACGACGAGAGCAAGGTCGGACTGGCAGAAAGGCCGCGTTGGACTCGTCGCTCGCGGGCGATTGCAACTGCGCGGGCGAGTCCCGGATGCGCCGCTCCCCGCGGACTTGTTGCGCGGCTACCGGCGCGTTTCTCGGTCGTGAATGGCGCGGCGATCGACGAAATACCTTATTCCCGACGATGCAGCTAGGAAGACGCCGGCATCGCTGCGGCGCCCTGCCGCCGAGGGCAGGCCTCGCTCGACGCGTTCCTCGATCGCCGCGGAAACGCATGCTGGGCCTCAACTTGAGGCGACGCAATCCCGCCCAACAACTTTCCAGTGCGAGGGCGGCGCGGCGCAGGTGCCCCGCGGACCGGCGGGGCGCCCGAGGACTGGTCGAGAAGAGCGCGTCTTTTCACTTGCAGTCTGGGCGCCAAACTAAAATGGGCGCGCCCCCACTCGACGCGCTGCCCGCGCGAAGCCCGCGGGCGGGGGCGTCGCCCGAGAGATGGCGGGGAATGCGCGTCGTTTCACTTGCATCCTGAGTCTTGACGCGGGAGGACGCACCCCGCCCGACGCGCGTGCCGTGCGAAACATCGGCCACGCAGGTGACCCACCGGCAAGCGGTTGCCCCGAAATCTTGTCGGGAATGGCAGTATTGTGCCGCTTGCATTCTGGGCCCCCAACGCCATGTTATTCGACTCCCCGCGCGGAGCAGGCGCCGCGCGGGTGGCCCGCGGGCGGGCGGCCGCCCGCGAACCCAAAAAAACGCACAATTGCGGGTGCGTTTCTGCCGGGGCAAGCGCTGATGAATCCCCGCTCAGCGCGTTGCCCGCGCGAAGCAGTCGCCGCGCGGGTGGCCGACGAGCGGGCGGGTAGCCCGACAACTTGTCGCGGACAAGGCATGTTCGGCGCGCGCGTGGGCGGGGGGAGGGGGGGCGCGCCCCCGCCCGGCGCGTTTCCCGCGCGGGGCGGGCGCCGCGCAGGAGGGCCGCGGGCGTGCCGGCGCGAAGTCAGACATGCCCACTCAAGACGTTTCCCGCGCGAAGCAGACGCCTCGCAAGTGGCCCGCGAACGGTCGGGCCACCCGACGACCCACTGTCAAGGGGGGCCAAGCGATCCACTTGCGTTCCGGGCCGCAGCGCGAAGCCGTGCATTCCCCGCCCACTGCCCTGCCCGCGCGGGGCAGGCGCCGCGCGAGAGGCCCGCGGGCGGGCGGGCCACCCGACCGTTTCACTTGCATTCTGGGCCTCGACATGATCTGATGCATTCCATTCAGCGCGTGCCCCGTGCGAAGCGGGCGCCGCGCAGGTGGCCCGCGGGCGGGCGGTGCCCCGACAACTATGACCCAGTCCATCGTCAGATAGTACGGGGCACTCTACTGCCACTAGACTACATGCCGCGTTTTCCAATGATAATGCATCGACGTTCGCGCCGGCGCACGTGCTCGGAAATTCCTGGCGCGCGTTAAACTTGCGTCGGTTCCCCGCCGCGGCCGCGCAAGCGCGCGTTCTTTTGATGCGCCCTAGAGGGGGCGATGAAATCCCAACCCAACGAGAATTGCCAACTGTTTGTTTTCCCGCTCTACGTAACTGGTCTCGCACATGCTCCGACGTCACGGCGTAATGCGCGCGCGTTCCCAGCGACGAGATAACGCGCGGCTGCGTTCGCCAGTGAATTTGTCCCTGCCAAATGGATTACCTGAACATGTGCTAAACGTGCGCCGGCGCAGCGGCGGTGCTCCACGCGGCGGCAGATCGGGATTCCATATGATTTCACTTCGTCGCATTGTCCCGGCCACAACTAAAACGCGATCGCAGGTCTGATGGAGGGGGGCGGAGAAAGATGGCGGGCGAGAAAGAACGAGACGCGAGCGCAGGGGGGGGGGCGAGGGGGGGCATTTTCGCGCAGAGTTTGGCTGAGGTGGTCAATCGACTAGGGGGGCGATGTAAAATGTGCCGAGGCTTCCAGAACGGTCGATTGCGGAGAATGGCCTCGTGGCCAAAATTAGGCAGCGCATCTTAGCTCCTAACTGGTTTTCTTGCGTCGCAATGGCCCGCAGTCGCGGGCGCGGTCGAGATTTCTGGGCCGCGCGCCGCTCGCGCGGCCGCGCGAAACGCTCGGCGCCGAGCACCCCGGGCCGCCCTGGCCCGGGCGGCCTGCTGCCGAGCTGCGGGCCCCGGGCCCCGCCCGCGGGGGTTCGGTGCCGCGTCGTCTGAGCGAGCCCGCGCCTCGGCGGGGTGTTCGGAACAAGGCGCCCCGCGCGCCGCCCCGTCGTTCGCGCTGCCCGCCCTGTCATCGACGCCCGCGCCGTCGCGGGCATGCCCCCCGGGCGAAAGGGGGGCGGAGGGGGCGCGGCCTGCTCGAGCGGGGGTGCCGGCCTGACCGCCCGTCACCCGACTGCCCGCCAAACCGCCCCCGCCGCCCTGCCCCCCGCCCCCGCGCCCCGCGCGCGCGCCCGCCCCGCCTCGCCCCCCGCGCGCCTCGTGCAAGAGACGGGCCCCTCTCCCCCGGCGCGCGCCAGAGCTCCGCGGCCGCGGCGGGCGGGGCGGCCAGGGCAATCGCGCGCAAGAGGGTGTTGGAGGCATCGGGCCCCCATCGGCACTCAGTGAATGGCGGTGGCGGCGGGGGGCCTCGACGCCGTTGCGCCGCTGCAGAGAAATTTGGGGCGCCGTGCGCCCGGGTTCCTCCCGCCCCCAGCCGCGCCGTTCGCGACCCCCCCCCCCGGCGCCGCTGGGCGACGCCGTCGGGTGGCATCCGTCGACTCGAAGAGCGGCGACGTCGCGGCGGCCAGCTGTGCAAAGAAGAGTGCCTCACGCTCGGTTGGGCCGCCTGAGTGATAGCTGGCTGCGAAGATGGATGCAGAATGGACAGACTTTGCCGCGTGATCGTCGCAGGCGCTGGCGCGGGCCAGCCTTCGCTCCTCGGCTTCGAGCCCCCTGGCGCGCTCAGCCGCGCGAGGGGCTTTCTGATGGCGCGAGTTCAGACGCTGGTGGCCTGGCGCGGATCGGGCGAGATTTCCTGCTCATCCTACTTTATGAGTGATCCTGGGCGGCTTAGCAACATGGTCCTGAGATGCGCGCTGCTCTATGCTCAGCAAACCATGGAGTCGCAGGTGTGCCCGCAGAGCGCAGCCGCCTTCTGCAGCCCCGCGGGATCCCCGCCAGCGGCCTGGCCATCGCGTGGCTGCCTGGGCCGCATCGGTCCTGGCACTGGCCGCCCTGTTGGTGCGGAGGTCCGACATGATTGATCGCCGCGCTCGTCGCCGAAATGTGTAAGAGCCAGCGTGACAAATTATCGAAAGAGGCCAGTAGTCTTGCCCTCGGGGGTCATGGGCGCGATGGCCCGCTCGGGCTGACGGGCGAACGCTGGCCGATAACATCCGCGCCGCCCCGAACAGGGTGATGGCACTGCGACGCATGGCGAACCTCATGGGGCAACCGCCGTCCACCTTCCAGGGCTGCCATAACGTGGGCAAGATCCGCAATGATGTAGGCGATGCCAATCCGTTGCGTGTCGCCTGGGTGGGGTCATGCGGAGGTGCCGACGGCAGTGACCTCACTGCCCGCAACCGACGAGATCAGCCGCGCAGCTGTCACCGCCAAACGACCCCCACCCCAAGCCTGCGATCACAAACTCCAGCCGATGGCGGGCTAATCTGCTCGCCGCACAACTATCCCGCTGTGTTGCTTCGGCTACATTTTCGGCGGCTCCCAGGACGGGTTCGCGCAACGAGTGCTGATGACCGCTGCAAAGGGCATCGCCGGTGCCAGCTACATCGTGGAAGTTTGCAATTTGCAAGCAAAGCCCAGGACCCCATCTTCTGCCGCATTTTTCTAGTGTCAGTGCCCCCTGGCCCGAAACTGTGCGAAAAAGGCGAGCATTCTCTAATCTGGGCCCCCATTCGGGATTGCGGGATGTGTGTTTTTCGGGCTAAGCCGTGACGCGGTGCCTGGTCTGAGGCGGCCAGTCGTCCAACGGAAAATCTGAAGATCTTGCCGGAGCAGGCGGGCCACTGCTCTTTCTTTGGGCCGTTTTCCTCCATGCCATGTGGGCTGGGAGGGAAGGGGAGGTTCCTATTCCTCCTCGTCCTACTCCTCCTCCTTCTCCTCCTCCTTTCTTCTTCCTTCCAGTTCCTCCTCCTCTCCCTCCCTCTCCGTTTACCCCTTCCTTCTCCCCCTCTTGTCCCTTCTCGTCCTCTTCCTCCTCTCTCTTCCCCCCTTGGCAAAAAGGAAAGGTGTCATGTTGGGCTTTCCCCGGGAACATGTTTCATCCTGAACTGTTTTCTGATGGCCACAAGGCCCAGAAAGGGGGCCCTTTGAACCCGAACACTGAACCCTAAAACGGCGTAAACATCCAGGACCTGTCCTTCTACGTCACTTTTTGCCCCCATGATGGAAAGAACGCCTGGAGTGCATTGTGACTCGGGTTTCGGGGCGAAGCCAAGCGCAGCGACGAGACACCTGCCAGCGGAAGCTCGGAAAAAAACGCCCCAGAACCCGCAGTCCTTCCTCGGAGCTTGCTGCCAGAAGCCCCCGTGGCCATTCCCTCCCTCCCCCGCCCTCCGCATCGGCTGGCCGGAACCGCCACAGGGCCACCGAAGGCCGCTGAAAGGCCGACGAATGGCCACCGAAGGCCGCCGAAGGCCACCGAAGGCCGCCGAAGGGCCGCCGAGGGCCGCGGAAGGGCCGCCGAAGGCCGCCGAACGGCCACCGAAGGCCGCCGAAGAGCTGCCGAAAGGCTTGCGAAGCCGGCCAGAGCCCGCCGCGGTCGGTCGGGGCCGCTGGCAGACCGTGCGGCGCGCGCGCGCGCGGGCGGCCGCCTCGCGGAAGGCCGCCCAGCCGGTATCCCTCGCGCCGAGCAGGCGGTCGCGGAGCGCCATGGCCTCGCCCGCAGCAGACGGCCGTCGATAGCGTTGCCGCCGCCGCCGCCGTCCTCCTGCTTCGCCTTCCCCCATGCCTCAGACCCACCACCCAGGCACGATAGCGGGATGGGCCGAAGGCGATTAGATATTGGCCGGCGGAATGGGCGAAGCGAATATCAGTCTTCTTGATCTTCCTCTTCTTGATCCTCCTTTTCCTTCTTGCGATTTTCACACTGTTACCAACAATGGTGATGATGATAATGCAAACACTGATGATAATAATAATGCTACTCATAGCACGAATAACAATAGGAACCATAGTAATCCAAGGCACGATGAGAGCGAGATGCGCGATAATGAACATGCGATAGCGCATGATACGCGATGACATATTAAGCAAGATGGAGGGAATAGTGAGCAGGAGGGCTGAAAGGAGGCAGGGAGGAGAAGGAAGGCAGAGGGTGAGCCTCATCAGGAGCGGCAGGCGGCGGAGAAGACGACTAGCAGTAGGGCAGAGGAGAGGCCCTCCTCGTCCACCTCGAGCACTGGCGAAGTGACGTGGGTGCTGCCCAACCACTTCGACACGTGCAAGCTGACCTTACCGGCTGGGATGGGGGACGAGGATGGGCGACGGCAAAGAGGGAACGGAAGAGGAGGAGGAGTACAAGCAGGGGGTCTGAAAGGGAAGCAAAAGCAATGCGTGCGGTGTGTGTGTATGTGTGTGTACCGACCGCGTGTCAGCGCGCTCGTGGTCGTGTCAGCGCTGCTGATAGGTTATCTGTCGAACAGCATGCGATCATCTGCCCAGCCCACAGTTGTTACACCACCATCGTCATCGGCATCATCACCATAATCATCGTCCCCTACAATAATCGAACGCATCATCGTCATTACGTACCATCATCATCATGATCATGATCATCATCATCATCATCATCATCATCATCATCATCATCACCATCGTCATCATCATCGTCATCGCCACCATCACCACAATCAACAGCACCATCACCACCACAATGATCGTCATGATGATCATCATCGTCGTCATCCTCCTCAACATCCTCACCATCATGATCATCATCAGCACGATCCTCACCCTCATCCCCGTCCTCCTCCTCCTCCTCATCATCAGCATCATCATAATCATAATCATCATCACTTGCATCATCATCATCAGCATCATCATCACCACAACCACAACTATCCTCATCAACACCATCACCAACATTATCATCATATCCATCGCCACCATCATCAGCAACATCATCATCGACGTCGTCGCCATCGTCATCTTGAAGGTCAACATCCTCGTCACTGTCATCACATCGTAATCATCATCGTCATCGTCAGCGTCGTCATCATCATCATCATCAACATCATCCTCATCATCATCATCATAACCTCCATCATCGTTACAACAACAATCATCATCAATATTTGCAACATCACCGTCATCATCATCATCATCATCATCACCGTCATCATCATCACCGCCAGTATCATCAATATCATTACCACCACCATCACCATTTACATTACCACCGTCATCACCACCATCATCGCCATCACCACCATCATCATCATCATCATCATCAAAACCATCAACATCATCATCATGATCGTCATCACCATCATCATCATAATCATCATAATCATCATCTTTATCAATCTACCATGACCGTTATCATCATCACCATCACCACAGACGACAGCATCATCGTCAGTATGATCATCTTCGTTGTCATCATCCTCATTCGCATCCCACCATCATCCTCACCACCATCATCATCATCATCACCAACATCATCATCACCATCGACATCCTCATCAACATCATCATCATCGTCATCATCGTCAACATCATCATCTTCATCATCATCGTCGTCATCTCGCCGTGATCATCATCGCCGTCATCGCACGCACCAACATCATCATCGTGATGGGGGGGACGCCCAAACTTTCAAGCCCGTGTTCCGCGGTCGTCGACACGCCGGGGGCAACATCTTGCTGCAAGCGGGCCGCGGAGCTGAAGCCCCTTTCGGGAAAGCGAATTGAACGATTGCGTCGGATCGCACTTTGCCTTGCCCGCGGTGGCAAGAGCCACTTGGACCGTGCTTTCGCTAAGTTCGGCTCCATATGTGTCTCGCTCCATGGCCTGGCCACCCATGTTGCAGCTCTCCAGCCTTAGGCACGCCAATGTGCAGGACTTTTTTGTTGCGCCCCTGTCACCTGTCTGTGCACCGCCTTGGGCAGCAGCGGAGCAACCTGCGACATCTCATTGAAGCTGCCAAGTCGCTGGTCGCTCCCCCCTGACGGGTCCAATCGAAACCTCGTCCTCGTTCTCTTCTTCCTCCTCCCCCTCCTGTCCCCGCGAGGCGCAGCAAACATATACCTAGTCGCCACCCCCTGAACTCCTCGTCCGTGACGGCGGTGGAGATGTACAGCGGTCATGTTCCTCGTCCTCCTCGTCGCCCCTTCTCCGCCTGCTCCTCCTCGTCGTCCTTCTCCGCCTGCTCCTCCTCCTCGTCCTCCTCCTCCTCCTCTTCCCCTCAATCTCCTACCTAGCGAGCCCGCCTCGGCCGGTTCTGGATGGCCTCGAACGCGATAGGCCGATGCCAGGCTATGCTTTGTCGCCTGTGTCTGATCTTCCTGAGGTCTATGGGGCCCTTGCGTATGCTGCGTGACCCAACACGTCTCTCGCAGTGCCGTGCATGACATCGTGGGGAATGCTTGGTAGACTCATGTGATGACAAGCGGGTGTGATTGACCACTTGTCAGCCATGTAGTGCACACTCCCAGACTCCATGCCAGGGTCTGGTTCCAGGCAACTCAGTTGTATTCCTGCGCCCTGCTGTGTTGGCTGCTCCTTCCCTTGTCGTTCTGAGAGCGTCCTCAGATGGATGATACTGGGCGAAGTCAGAGGGAGTCCCCAGCCTCCCTCCCTCCGTTCCCCTCTGCTCCTTCCTCCCTCTCCATCCTTCCCCTTCTTCCACTCTCCTCGTCGTCCGCATCCTCTTTTCGTTCTCCTGCTCTTCGTCGTCATCGTCGTCATCGCCCGTCGCTCTCCTCCTCCTGCTCCTCCTACTTTTCCTGAAGACGAGAGCAAGATATGGACAACATCGGGTAGGGGTCTCTGAGCGCCGAGGACTCTTGAAGACGTATCGCGCGCCGCCGCCGTTCCAGAGAGCTCCAGAACGCCTTGGAGCGATTTGTCATACCTTTGGGCTGCCCGATCCTTTTCCCGCTCGCAGATCTCTGGAGGTGCTCGGGAAGTCTCCCGAGGTCCCCAAAGATCTCCATTGTGTGAGGAAGAGGAGGGAAACGACAGGAGAAGGACGAGGAGGAGGAGGACGAGGAGGAGCGAAATTAAAGGAGAAGGACAATGAGGAGGAGGAGGCGGAAGGAAGAGGAGGAGAAGGACAAGAGAGGCGGTGAAGAGACCTCCCATCTCTGACGTCCGACGAGATGTGTTTTCCCCACTTCGTGGGCCTAAGAAGCCTTGGTTCCCTCCCTGGGGGCAACATTTCATCCCACATCAGATTCTGACGGCCAACGGGCTCCGAAGACAAAATGGAGCGACATAAAAAACAACGAGTCTTACGCGAGATGGCATGGCAAACTTACGCGGTGGCTTACGCGGGCCGCTGGCGCGGCAAACCACTTTGGAAACGAACGCGCTTACGCGCCACCTTACGCGGGTTGCTTCTAACGTCCTCCTTGTCACCCACCGCAGTCGACGGGCCCCGGCCACGCTAGGCCGCCGCTACGTGCGCGCGGATGCCGTCGCCACCGGCGTGCCCCTGGTCCGGGTCGTGCACGGAGGCGGCGAAGGCGTGCCGCAGGTCCACGTCCTTGCCGCGCAAAGGAGACGATTAGGCGACGATTGCCGACCAGACAATAAATCCCACGGAGAGGCCGCTGGCGACAAACAGAAATTTACACCATGGGGCGCACAACGCGCCGTTTCTGCCTCTGGATGCTGAGGTTTCATCAAACCAGATGGCCTTGCCGTTCTTGGGCGGAACCGTTGCCGCGCGAGGGGCGGGAGGGGGCGGGGCGGGGCGGGAAGCCGCAACCCCGCTGGGGTATTGGACGCCCCATGTTGGGGATCACTTGGCTGCAGACACTCTTCGCCGCAATCTGAACCTTGGCCGGCGTTTCGAAAATCTGACCTGCAGGGGGAGGGCTCGCACGTGTGCAATGACTGCGCACCGCGTGGGAAATCGGCACATCGTAAAACATACTGATGAAAGCAAGAGGGAAGAGGATGGATCGGGGACGAAAGGGTGGGCGTGTTCGGCGCAGATGCCTCCCCTTCCTTCTCCTCCCTCTTCCCCTCCTTGACAGCGGCGCAGGCATTATGAAACGGTGCGTGGATGTCCAGCTGGGCGACACTCGAAGGGAGGGGGAGGGAGGGCGAAGGAGGAGGGACTGGGGACTAGAAGTGAAGGGTGAGGGTAGAAACGAACTGCTTCAATCACAAAAAACGGATGAGTCAGACGCGTATAACACGGGCACGGGAGGATATCTTCCCGGGCCCCGGGGGGGAAACAACAAAACAAACAACATCAGCGGTGGGGAAAGGCAACTCAAGGCGAATAGTGCATGGGGCAACGCTACAAAGTCCCGTTAGAGTCTGTTGCTCCAGCGGGACTTTTGCGCCTCGCTGGTGTAGGCATGCAAACCACCCCCAAACCAGCGAATAAGAAGTAAACTAATTGTGCGATGCAATAGCCTGCTACTAACCACGTTCCTCATACAATGTTGCGAAGGTGAAGGAATGTGGGCACTGAGGGCCCTGTTCTGAGTGGGTTCCGATTAACAGCTGCCTGGCGGCAGAATCCTCGGATGGAGCCCGCGATCATTCAGTTGCGGGCCCTGCTGTCCGAAACTTGCCGCCCCATGAACATAGTTCGTGGCACTTGGCAATACTTTCGCGACGGCCAGAATAATATGAGAACTTGTCGTCGTGAAGGCGGCTGCGGTTAACCTCGCATCAGCGAACATAGTCCGCGACTGCAAGCATCGCATGGCTTAGCTATGCGAGTCGCAGTTCTCCTTGTTGCGGTCGGCGATGTCTTTGCGTGCCGCTCCTCGCCCAGCCTGACCGCGCTGCGGTCGTAGCTGAACATCCCGCCCATGATATCGAGAATGAGCTCGCGGGCGCGGCTGGTCTTCGTCGTGGGGTCGGCCCTCATATCTGGAGTGTCGCACCAGATGATGTCGTCATTCTGTTCGGTGCGGAGCTGGCCCGATAACCGCCGGTGGCCTGTCGCGCTGTTCTCCGACGGCGGACGAATGAGGTCCATGGCCAAGGTGGGGAACACGAACGTGCCGTCCACGACGAGCTCGGCCAGCACGGCGTGACCTCCTTCCCCCCTCGGCCTCCTGATCTCCTCTCCAGAGGCGGGGCCGCGCGCCATCTCGCGGGGCGTCATGAGGCGCGCCTGCAGGCTGCCAGCTGCGCCACAGGCTGCTGGCAGCTCTGGGCCGAATGATGATTGGCAGGGCAAGTCGCGCGATCGGCTCGCGGCGTCGAGCAGGCGGCAGATCTGTCAACTAATCGCGCGGCACTTGCCCAAGCGCGTCTACGCGGCTTCCGGCATGCCGTGGCTCGTCTCCTCTTCGCGCTTAAACGAGCCGTCTCTGCGCCCGCGCGCTCCATAGCAAGGAGGGCGACGCTCGCCTTGATTTTCAGGCTGGCCAGAACGACGGAGTCAAGCTGCATCGCATGCCCGTTGCCCCCTGCAGCGCGATGATGTAGGCGGCGACGCGGTGCTGCGCGAGCAGAGCGTTGGCTGCTGCTCCGGAAGCGGAGACAAAGAGGTCTGGAAGTGGAACTCCGGCCGGCTCGTCGGCCTTCGCCTTGACCAGGTCGCCGTTCCTGATGGAAATCAGGGCGTCGATGTAATCGTCCTGGTCGAGCGTCGCGGCGCCGTAAGCGCTGCGGCAGTGATGGATTCCGCGCGCGGTGAAATCGCCGCTATCACAATTCATTTGTGGCCGATAAACTGGCCGACGTGCTCTTTGCGCCGCGCGATCTTCATATCGTCGACGCGCTTGGGCAGCGCGAGCGCTAGCCCCGAACCGCTGAGCCCCGCCGCGTCGGCTTGGCGCTGCGCTCGGGCGGGCGCGCGAAACCTGGCGAGCTTCGTTGCGGCGGCTCTGGGCGCATCCTTGCAGCCGGTGCCCGGCTTGATGCGGCGTGGGCACTCGGCCCGCTCGTCGAAGGACTCGCAATCTGGTGCTGGCCTGAGAATCGCTGCGCTGTCGGGCGGCAGGGTGAAATTCACCTCGCGCGGGGCTTCGCCCTGCCGCTGTATCTCAGAGCGCGCGCCCGCGGCGACGCACGCCCGAACCGAGCGACAGTCCTCCTCTGAGGACAGAGAATGTGCGCGGGGCGCCCGCTGGCCGCGCCGACGAACCTCTCCAGAACTCTGGTGCCCATGTCGCGGAAGCCCCTCAGCGCCGCGCGGCGCCGGGTGACCCTGGCGGTCTCGTTGCCCGATCCCTGCCGTTGTTTCAATTTGGACGCGCGTCTGAAGTCCATGGCATTCCGGGCGCCATCGAGAGTTGTGCTTGGCCCAGGTTGCAAGCTCCTAGGGCGGTTGCTGCTTCTTTAGACGGCCTCGGTACTTCCTCTGCGGATGGGAGGTCGGCGTCGCGCCGTGCGGCCGCGGCCCCGACGGCGGCGCGCGCCTTGGACGCGGCTGCGGCGGAGGCGCCAGCGACGCAGTTGCTGGACTTTCCTCGTTGCAGCAGAAGGGGGGGTCGAAGCACAACTCCACGCGCTCTCGCCCTTCGCCCTTTAGCGCGGCGTAGTCGTCCGAGGAGGCGCCGCGCAGGTGGCGCGGACGCTGCGCGCGGCTACTCTGGCGCTCGCGCTGCGTCTCCAAGCGCCGGTGCTGCTCGGAAGGCCCGCGGCCCGGGCTGGCCGCCGCGTGCCCGACGGCAACATAGACCTTTTGCTGGCTGTCGGTGCCCCCCTGCCCCTGCAGCTCCTGGGCCAGACCCTCTGCCCCCTCGACTGCCTGCCAGGCTGCCGACGTCACTTGCTGGACGTGGCCGGGAAAGTCGCTGTCGGCCTCCTCGGGCATGACGGACAGGGCTGACGTTGAACCGCCCGCGGAGAAGCTGGCGGCAGCACGGGGGGCCACCTGTCGAGCGCGACGTCGCGCGGCGCAGCGCCGCCCGCGCGGGCGAGTCCGTTGCCCGCGAGGATAGCGCGGTCCAGCATGGAGTCGAAGTTGGCGGTGGTGCCTTCGCGCTCCAGCTGCGCCTGGGTGGCGCGCATCGCGCGTCGCAGTGCGACGCCGAGTCGCTCTCTGTGCCAGGCGTGCTGGCGCGGAGCTCGGATGATGTCCGCCAATGCTCCTCGCCTCGTCCATTCCTCCACGAAGCGCGCAGAGGCCGCTCCGCCGTCGCCGCCCGCGACGAAGGTCTCCATGGAGCCGGTCGATTGGACCCGCGGGCGGTCGATGGCCGCCAGCGCTGTCGAGTCGCGACTGCTCGCGATCTCCCGGCCGTTGCGCCGCCTCGAGGCGAAGCAGATCAAATGCAGCATTGTGCGATCCTTGCAGTAGAAGGTGTCGCATCCGACGTGCTGGCGGCAGCCGCTTGCGACGCTCCCGACGCGCGCCGACCGCCGTGGGAATGTGGTCGAGGATCGTATGTAGCACGTTGGCTGCTCGTAGAGCCCGTGCCACTGTGGCGTGCCACCACCAGAGGCGTAACTTGCGTGGCTCTCGCATCCGTGTCTCGTGCAAGTCGCCGCGTAGCGGTCGTAGTGACGCGGCGATGTCGATGCGAGTCCAGTCTGACGGCGCTGGGTCGCCTGCAGAGGCGCCGGCAGCTCGCGGCGCTGAACGTCTCGGCACTGCGCCGGGCACTGGGTTGGCTCGCAGTCGTGGCGCAGCAGCGCAGTTGCTGGAACCGCTGCCCAGAGCCCAAGCTCTGAGTGAAGGGCTGGCTCCTGATGTGCTGGTCGGTGCTGGCGGTCCTCCAGGTCTTGCTGGTGCTCGCGGGCGCTGGCCAGTGCGCGGGCGCGGCCGCGCGCGAGGGGCCACGAATCTGCGCATGCTGAACTCGTGGGCGCGCGCTGGATGGGCGCTCTCCTTCTCCTCGTGACAGCCTGGGAATTCCCCGCGCATGGGGGCGCTGTGGGGGCACCGGCAGATGGCCGGATCTCGTGGATGCATGGGCGAGTCTGCCCGCGCGTTGCGTCGGCGCGCTTCGGGCGAGTAGCGCGCGCGCTCAGCGGCCGTGGCACCCATGATTTCGCCCTCTGTGGCCCTGGAGGCTGCTGGTGGGAAGGGTGCCGCATCGCCGTCGCTTTCGTGCACGTAGTCCGCGAGATGCGAGCGTCTCAGGCGGCGGCGCAAATTCACTATGCCTTGGGCAAGCCGCTCGGCCACGTTCCATGGCCAAATTTGGGCGTCGAAGATGTCGCGGCCCTCGACGCGCGCGTGGGCGTGCTTGTCGGCGCACTGAAGGTTCGCGAACTGCTCGAGGATCTCCTGGCGTTTGTGGTTTTTCCACATGATACTCCCGCGGCGATCTCGCAATCATAATTCTCTGTGCACGCCCGGCGTCGACGCAGCCCCTAGCCCAGGAAGCTCGCCGCGCGGCCGCGACCGATCGGGCTGCGCGTTGACGAAGCAACCGCCGACTTGCAGCTGCAGCACGGCTACGTGGCCGCGAAATCGGCCGCGTCGACCGAAAAGCCGGCAAGTGGGGGCCATGGCGGACACTCGGGGCCGATTATGTCGGATGTGTCGCTCTACGTAGCTCTGCTGGCTCTCGTCGCTGAGGTCGCAGCCAATCGCCGGGTCGAAGTTGGCGCCCACCTCGCGGCGGCGGCGGACAGCCAGCGCGTTGCCCCGCGCCTCCCCGCTGGGAGGCCCTCGCCATATACGCCGCGCAGTGCGTTTTTTTTTTTGCTTGTGCGAAATCAAAGAAATTGCGCTTTCGATGGGTGGGCGCGACCGAGCGAGGAAGCGCCCTCGACGGGGAATTTGAAAGGACTGGCGCCGCGCGGGCGGGGGCGCAATCAACGCGAAACCGGAGGCCCATGCGCGCGCGGCGCAGGTCGCTCGACAGGGGCTGGCGGCTGGGCCCGCAGTGCACCGAAAGTTGCCCTGGGGCTGTTGTGAAAGAGATGGCGCGGGCGCCTGGCGAAGCGCCACGCGCGGTCTTCGTTCGATTGCGCCGAAGACAGCCCGATCAGTTCGTCGATCGAAGCACGAGAAAGTGCCACGACGTTTCGGGCCCTCATGCCTCCCCAAAACCTTCCCGAGACACCCGAGCGCCTCCAGAAGGCCCTCAGGGAAACGTCGAGGCAGCCTTGGGCAGTCCCGAGACGTTTCGACTCACCTTTGAGCTCGCTGGCACCTAGACACCAGTCCACGACCATAGGTCTGGATGCTGGCGCCCGCGGTGGCGCGCAGGTCGTTGCCCGCGGCCTGCGGTGTGCTCCGCACTCGTATCAGTGTTTCGGGGTTTAGAAGATTGATGTTGATTGAACTCGCGGCCGTTGCTGGCGCCGTCACCCTGGGCGCGGTTGCCCACGGCGAGGCGCGTGAGCAGCTTGGGCGGTAGTCCCCCGGATTGCGGCTGGAGTCGATCAAAGTTGTCGGCTGGCATGCATAGCGGCCACTTGGGGCAGGAAGACCTTTGCCTGGGGAAACGCGAGGCGTTCGTGCGCTGCGCGCGTCTCCACTGCCCCGTTGCTGGACTGCGTGGGTTGCAAACCACGTAGGGCAAGGAGATCGAGTCCGTCGCCGCCCACCGCGGGGGCACGCTCGCTGCGATGCGTGGTCACGCCGTCGCGGCTTGCAGCTGAAATAGGGCAGTGTACCTCCCGATGCGTAACGTGTGCACCGCTGCCTCCTGCCACGTAGAGTGGGGTCGACGGCTTCTCCTCTGCGGGAACGATCTTCGCCTTCTGCGCCTTGTCGGCCAAGTCGCGGTCCGCGGCGAATCTAGATCCCCGGAAATTTCTCCAGGCGCCGGCGTCGATGACGTCGCCTAATTAACCGGCCGCCCGGGAGGTCGGCGCTCGCCGGGTGGCGCGGAGAGTCGGACGAAGAAGCCGCGCCTGCACCTGGCGATGTAGGCCACCGCGGCAGCGTTGGAGGGCGCGAGGGCACGTGCCAGTCTAGGCGCGCGTGGTAAAGTACCGCTAAGTGAGCGGGGGGACATGGAGCAGGACTGGCTGCTCGGCGACCGCATGAGGTCTCGCCGCGGTGCACCTGGTGCGAGAGCGTGCCTACGAGATTGGATGTGGCCCCGCTGCGGGGAGTCTCCCGGGGCGCGTCGGCGCTCGAGGCCGACCGGGCCGGCGCCGCGGGAACTGGGCCCCTGCCGCGCGGGCCGGCGACGCAGTCGCCAGATCCGCCGTTGCACGATCTGCACCGGTCAAGCAAAGTCGGCGATGACGTCGGCTGCGCCTCGGCACGCTGGGCAGAACGCCAGGTGGGCGCTCGTGTTCTGCGGGGGCTGCGGGTGGCATGCCTGGCGCAAAATGCGGCGGCGCTGCGGGCGTGCCGCTCGATCGCCACGCGACGCGGGGGGCAGCGGGCGCGGCCGCCGCTGCGGGAGGAGGATTGGTGGAGCCCCCCGTCCAACTCTGCTCGGCTCGGCTCGTCGTCGCTGCTCGCCCTTTGTCGTCAGAACTTGAATGCTGGAGCTGTGGAGTTCGTCGAGGTGTAGCCGTTGCGCGCGGTCGAGAGTGGCGCCTGCGCTGCGCTCGGACCAGGCGCTGTTCGATATCCAGCCGTCGCGGCGAGCGAACCGCGCGACCGCTCCCCCAGTCGCGACGACGGGGGCGGGCTGGTTGCGTGGAGCCAGGCCCCCGGACTTCCATGGGGTTCGGGGGGGTGATGGAGATGAGGTCCCTGCCCAGCTCGGCCAACGGCTGCGGTCCACTGCCTGCCGCGAGCCGTCGGACGGGGTGCTGGAGCTGGCCGCGTAGCCGCCGATGCTGGAGTCGGTCGCCCGTCGCTCCAGGGGTCAGCGCTCTGCGCGGGGGCGCCACCATTGGGCCAACGAGCCACGGGTGTGGGGTTGCCCGAGGGGTCTCCAGTCACCCAGGCCGCGCGCGCGCCTGGCGCTGGCAGTTGAGAATCTGGCCCAGGCGCCCCTTGATGCCCCGAGCGCGCATGTGGCGAAGGCAGGGCGCTGGAGTCGGTGGCGGTGCTGCTGAGGCTTGGGCGCGAAGGAAGTAGGCGCGCCCCTGCTGTCGGCGTCTGGGGCAATCGCGCGCGAGGTGATCTTCGGGGTCGCACTCGCGGCGCCTGATTCGTGCCCCGCCCAGGCCAAACGGACTGCCTTCGTGGTCAAATCCCATCCCGCCAATCCTTTGCCCACCGCCCCCCCTGCCCCTGCCCTTCCCGAAGCCCGCGAAGGCCCCCCGGAGGTCGTTCTTGGGCGCGTCGGCCAGGACGGCGCGATTGCCATTGCCGTGGCCCTTGCCCGTGCGCTGGACGACCCTCCGGGCGCGGCGCGTGGGCTTCTTTCTTGGCCGTCGGGACTTGGCGCGCTCGCGAGCCAAGGGGAGGCGTGCGCCGCGCTGTTCCATCGGACTTCGCGTAACTCGGGATCGTCGGCAGCGATATCTTCGCCGAGCTAGCTGCCGGCGTCGGGATCGGTGCCTGTGTCGACGCCAGCTGCTGGGCATATGCCTCTTGCGCTCGTGATGCCGCGCCTAGGTCGGCCGCTGCAGCAGCTGCATGCGGGCTTGGTGCCGCCCCCAGGGCAGCGGGCCCCATGCCATCCCAGCTCGATCCGGCTGCAGTGCCTAAGGCGCCCTGCACCTCATCTTGCGCAGGCGTGCCCGCGAGGAACGTCTGGCGCTGTGTCGCATGCGCAGCAGAAGCGGAATTGATTGGTAAGCCATCGATCATATGCCCAAGCCTGCGCAACTGGCCCATCGTGTGCGCCAGCTGCTGTGTGTCCGTGGCCATGTGGTAATGCTGCAGGATCATGGCGAGCCGCGCGTTCGGTGCACCAGCCGTGCGCAGCAGGAAATAGCTGAGACCCTCGAAGCCGGTTTGCTGCGCTCCGTTGCGGAGAAAACCGACCCTGGTGATGAGGTCGTCGACGCGCTCTTGCGGCAAGGCCGATGCCGCCTGCGCGCGCTCCCCCTTCCCCCTTCCCCAAGCTGGCCCCGTCGATCGGCCAGGCTGTACGCGAGGTAGGTCGTAGGTGGCGCTGAGTTGCCGTTGATGTGACCTCCTTAAGTCAAGACAGCGGGCGGCCACTCGTCCACGCACTCGCGCGCCATGCCGGTCTGGCGCGACAAGACGCAGGCCGCTTGGCCAAACCCAGTGAGGTCGGAGTTCGCCACTGACCAAGTCATGACCTCCCGCGCCCAGCGTTGGAAAGGCACGCGAGCTTGCTGCCCGGGCCCCCAGCTGCGGAGGTGTCGCATCTTGCCGCCATCACCGCCATCGGGGTCCATACAAGAAGTGCAACTGGCGGCTGTGAGCATGCCCGCTGCGATAGCCTCCCATCCGGAGTGGGGGTCCCTCGAATCTTGGAATCCAGCAAGGACCGTTTTTGAGGCAGACGCCGTCGTGGGCGTCGGTCCCTGGCATGCTTTTCCTCATCATCGTATTGGACTTTCTCACCAGTCGCATGATTGCTGTGCGAACGGCACTCGGCGCGCCCCGCAACATAGTCGTCGGCATACTCGTCATGCGTCGCGTTGTAACTGTAATGGGCACCACTAGCTCTACGATAACCAAGAGGAGTCTGTATCGGGATCGGACGAATGATCAGAAAGGGGTGAAGGAGAAACGCACTAATGATCAAGATCTGATGGCGAAGGACGAATGAGGGACTGAGAAAGGGAAGGCCGTGCTGTAGGACACCGCAACGACAAATAATGGCTGAGAGCTCAAGGGCGATGAGCAGCGGGCAGGATGAGATGATAAGAGGGTGGCGATGGGGGGAGAGCAGTGGGAAGGGAGGCGGAGCTTCAGGGAGAGCATGGCCATTGACATCGTCCTGGAACTCCTGCCTCCCGCCCCTCCCTCCCGTCCGCCGCCGTCGTCGCCGCCCGCGCTGTTTCGCCGTCGCCGTCGTCGCCGAATGTAAAGGGGCGGCAGCGGCGGGGGCGCGCCCGGCCCGCGACGGAGGCGCCGCCTAGACGCCTGAGGTGCGGTCCGGCTTTCGTGGGGGTCGCCGTCGCCGCCGTCGCCGCCGCCGTCGTTCGTCGCTAGTCGTTGCTAGTCGTCGCTGGTCGTCGCTAGTCGTCGTCGTCGTCGTCGTCGTCGTCGTCGTCGTCGTCGTCGTCGTCGTCGTAGCTAGTCGTCGTCGTCGTCGCTTGTCGTCGTCGTCGTCGTCATCGTCGTTATCGTCGCGGTCGTGGTCGTGGTCGTGGTTGTCGTCGTCGTCGTCGTCGTCAGCTTGCGTCGCTAGTCGTCGTTGTCGTGGCCTCCCGCTGTCCCCTCCTCCCCCTGCCTTCCGCATGCCTCCCCTCCTCCTCCTCCCCCTGCCTTCCGCATGTCCATGTCGGCACACCCCTCACATGTTTCGTGGCCCCATAGGGAGCTCCAACTAAGGTCTCAATGGGCGCGATTCCCAATTCGGCACGCCCCTCAAACGTTTCGTCGCCCATACGGAATTCCACCTAGGTTCTCAGTTGAAGCGGCCTCATGGCGTACCTGCCACAAGTGTTGCTTCCCCCTCACACGTCCCTTAAGATTCTCGACCTGCGGTCTCAGTGGGCGTGGCCGCATGGCGTACCCACCCCCAGTTCGGCACTCTCCTCACACGTTTCGTGGCCCCGTGCGTAGTTCCATCTACGGTTTCAGTGGGCACGGCCGCATGCCAGGCGGCGCCCCCCCTTATGCACACCCGTCACACGTTGGCCCCATAGGGAGCTCCACCTGCGGCATCGGTGGCACACTTCGCATTGTGCAACCCCCCGATAGGGAGCTCCACCAAAGGCCCTCACGGCAAGGCCCGCATGGCCGCACCGCGCCAGTTCCGGCACACTTCTCACACGTTTCATGGCCCGTAGGGAGCTCAACTCACCTCGCAGTTGGATCGCGCATCGGGAGCACAGATCGCCTCTGCGCGACTGGTCCGCCGCCCCCCCTCCTCACTTCTCCCCATGCCTGTCGCGGCGGGCTGCACCTGAGGAGGGGGTCATATCCTGCAGTGCTCGCAGATGCAGAGGTTTGGGTCCTTCGCCAGCTTTTCTTTTGACGCACCGAGTCTTCGGACGGTCTCGAGGCCCAGAGAGAGCCACGGGAGCCTGACAACTGCGGGAGCCTCCAAGGCCCGTTTGCTCTATGACTCCTTTTTCCGCATGCTGCTCCTCCTTCGACCCTTCCTCACAAATAGCTCCTCCACGCCGCACCGCCATGCAAGTCGGTAGGATGGGCCGGGCGTTTCGCCCGAGGTTTCCTCACCACTTACGGTTATCTGACGCTTGAAGCACTCCCACCAATTACAACCATTGAAGATGGCCTGCTTTCAAAACGTGGCTCTCGCCTGAACGCAGCGCGCGCGGTCCTTGAGCCTGGAACATGTCCACCAACTGCAAGGATGGAGGCAGACTGGTTCGCCAGATGTGGCTCGCGCATTCGCGCCACGCACAAACGTCTCAACAACATCAAATAATGAATGTGGACGGCGATTATTTTTCAACATTGGGTTCTCGTTTTGGACTTCTGCACTTCCAGGACTCGAACGTTTAAGCCAATGCGCCTGTTACACGGCTGGACGGCAAGTCCTTGTCAGACAGAAAGCGCTCACTTGACTGCTCTCGAACCCGTATGATCAAATGTTACAGGCTGCAATATGACTACACGGATGGAGCGAGGTGCTTGTTCAGAACCAGGCTCTGGCTAGAGATTCTTTAATTTTGTTGCTATACTCCTATGCTTGCGCAAGTGTTACGTAGACGGGAGGCGGACCTTCTCAACACCAGAGGTCTCGATTGTCGCTTCCCTGGACATCACGATTTTGCCCCTTGACACTTTCCTCCAGCTGGAACTTTGGTGGTAGTAAATGGTGCATGGTAGCCTCAAACAACAACTCAAAATGAGATGCCAGCCCTGGGGGAAGGGTCGGGACATCCAGGGACCCCGTATGGAACACATCAAAGACATCGGACCTCTGGGTCTCCCTCTCTCTGCCTCTTCCTCTTCCTCTCTCTCTCTCTCTCTCTCCCTCTCTCTCTCACCGTCTCCTAAGGGGCAACATAAAAGGGGATCGGCTCAGGAAGGGGCGCTTCGATCCCTTAATCGCCTGTTGATCGCCACTGCGGGCCCGACAGCCCAGCCCGCCCAGGACCGCGCCGTCGTCGCCGCTCGCGGGGGGCTCCCAGCCCCCCCCCCCTCTGCCCCCCACCCCACCCCCCAGACGCGCCTCTCGACCGCGCGCCGGAGACGCTCGAGGCCCCTACGGTGCTCGCAGGCGTCCTGCGGCGCGCTGCCGCCGCCGCCGCTTCCGCCGCCGTCGCCGCCGATTGAGCATCGATCGTTCGCGGATCGGTCGATCGATGGTCGGTTTAAGTCGGGCGTGTCCCCCTACAGGGGGATTTTCGACGAGAAATTAAAAATACACAAAAAAGTACTCCAACATGGCCCAAAAATACACCGAAAATAGTCCCCACACTATTTTTTGACTATTCTTGAATACTCCCCCTGTAGAGGGACAGGCCCGACTTAATGGTCGGTCGCTCGAGAATCGGTCGATGGGTCGATCGATCGGGAATCGAGCGCTTTCCCCGACTGCGGCCTCTGGGGCCGCCCGCCTTCGGGCACTGGAGGCCAGCAAGTCGACGCCGTCGTCGCCGCCGTCGTCACCGTGGCCGTGGCCGTGGCTGTCGTGGTCGTGGTTCTCGTCGCTGTCGGACGCTCGGCCGATCAAGTCGGTCACTCAACGTCGCGCTTCGCGGCTATCTTTGCTCTCACGCTTCCTCCCCAGAGAAGCATATCTGAAATGCGCTGGTGCTCGAACAATTGGTCTCCGGCTACTCCTCCGCCGTCCCTCTTCCTTCTAATTAATTTCCGTTGTCGCGCCGCCAGACGTGTCGATGGGGCGGGTCGGGCGTTTCGCCTGAGACCTCCTCACCGTATACCGTATACCATACTGGAGCTATAACTTCCAAAAACTACACGAATGGAGGGCGAGCCAGTCGTTTTCAAACTGAGCTCTGGCTTTGCGCCGAGCACATTCGTTATATGTCTGACAATTACACGGGTTGGGATCTTCAAAATGGGGCTCTCGCCTTGGCGCCGCGCAATTGCACGCCAGGAGGGCTGGCAATCTTCAACATTGGGTTCGTGCAGTGGCGCCGCGCCTCGTCCTAAACTCTTCCAGCGGTTACACACGTGAACAGCGAATCGTTTCCAAAATGGGCCTCTTGCCCTGGCGCCACGCACACCCACCTTGCACAGTTTCAACCATTACACGCACTGAGGGCCGCTCCTCCTTACAACTGGTGTTTTCGCCTGAGACCTTAACAATATGACAAGTACTCGAAGAATCGCACAGCAAATTGCATGGACGGCCTCCGTCCTCCCCTCCTCCCCCTCCTTCGCCCTTCCCTTCTCCCTTACGCATTCCCTCCTCGCCCTCGTCCCCCCTCAAACACCCCTTCTCCCCCTCCCTGCCTCTTCTCTCTTCCCCCTTTCCCTGCCCTTCATCCCCGCTCCCCCCCTGCCCGCCATGATTCCCTCCTCGTCCTCGTTTCCCCTCAATCACCCCTTCTCCCCCTTCCGGCCTCTTCTCTCTTCCCCTCTCCCTGCCCTTCATCCCTGCCCCCCCTGCCCGCCAGGAAGGGAGGGCGATGGATGAAAGGGGGGTGGATGGGGTGAGGGAAGAGATGAGGGGTGAGTGAGCGGGGAGGATGAGAGGGGTGGGGGAGGAAAGAGGGACGAGGGAGGAGGCAACCAGGCAGCAGGACCGAGGGCGGAGCCAGGGGGAGGGGGGGGGGCAAGGGAGGAGGCCGTCGTCGTCGCCCTCCTCGCCGCGGCGCGCTCCTCCAGCGGCGCGTAGCAGCTGTAGATGCTCAAATGCCCGATGCAGATCTTTGCGCGGTAGAGGCCCCGCCGGCCTGCACCGCGCGCGACGAGAGGCGGCGGCGCGGCAAGGGATGCCCGGGCGGACGGGTACGCCCTGGCGCGCAGGCGCGGGCAAGATCCCGTGCCCACTGGCACCAGCAAACGACGACGACGACGACGTGGACGACGACGCCTCGGCATCGTCGTCGCCGCCGGCGCCGGCGCCGTCGCCGTTGCCGTCGCCGTCGTCGTCGCCGTCGCCGCCGCTGTCGCCGTCGCCGCCGCTGTCGCCGCTGTCGCCGCTGTCGCCGCTGTCGCCGCGGCCGCCGCGGCCGCCGCGGCCTCCGCCGCCGCCGCCGCCGCCGCCGCCGCCGCCGCCGCCGTCGTCGTCGTCGTCGTCGTCGTCGTCGTCGTCGTCGTCGTCGTCGTCGTTGTCGTCGGGGGTCTGGGGAGCTGGCACGCAGGCGCGCGCATGCTCCCCAGACCCTGGACGTCATGTTTTTTTCATGGCATGGACCCCAGCGGTCTGGACCCAGGGACCGGTTTTGCATCCCAAGTCGTTTTCTGACTGCACCGAGGGTCGGTAAGGGCACCCTGAGGCCGAAAAGAACGGAAAACCTCTCACCATGCTTTTCTCCCCAGCGGTCTGGACCCACTCTGCGGGACCAGTTTTGCATCCGGTCATGAATTTCCCCAAAGGTGGACCCGTTTTGCATCCCGAGTCTTTTTGTTGAGGGCCCCAAGGGCCAGGAAGGCCCCCCTGAGGCAGACCATGGCGAAAACCTCCCGTCATGATTTTTTCATGGCCCCAGGGGGTCTTGGCCCCGTGGGCACTCGCAGACGAGCGCGCACGGAGGCGCGAAGGCATCCTGGCGCACCGAGGCGCGCCATCGCGCACGCACGCGCACGGAGGCAGACGGGTGCTCCCTGGCGCGCAGGCGCGCGCACGCTCCCGTGCCCCTCGGCGCCGGCAAACAACGCCGACGAGGAGGACGACGTCGTTTCGGTGTCGTCGTCGTCGCCGCCGCAGCCGTCGCCGTCGCGGAGCGGCGAGGGCGCGAGGGCGTTCTGGTGCGCGCAGGCGCACGGACGCGCCTGAGGGCTGGCGGCGCGGGGAGGCCCGCCAGCGAGCGGACGCGGGACGCCTGGGTGCCTCGACGACGGCACCGACGGCAACGAGGGACAAAATCGGACCAGGACGAAGCCAAGACAGGGACAGGGCCAGGATATATCGGGAATCTCCGAGATCTGGGGGTTCTGGAGGGCTGCCAATGGCGAGATCTGCCATTCTTGAGGATGTATCGGGCGCCGCGGCCTTCTCAGAGCGTTCCAAGACGCTCTGAGAGCCGTCCAGAACGCTCTGAACGATGCATCCCTGTCCTAGCCCCGCCCGACAGGGCAGGACGCAATTGGAATCGGTCCTGAGGGCGACTGAGAATACGGATGCAAGGCACCTGGAGAAAACCAGAGGACGCAACCGATCAGGATGCCAAGGATGCCAAGCAAGCCTGGAACCGAGGGTTGCAAGAACCCCTTGCTTCTTGCGGTCATCATCCGCCCGATTCTGACTGCAGGAGCTCCGTGATTCCTGTCAGGCAAGCTTTGCCGGCCAGCGGAATGTAGGACTCTGAAAGATCCGCTTAGTAGCGCGCCGCGTGAACCGTACTGCTCGCTGCCTTCATTGGTCCAAATGATGGGACTGCGGCACGGGCGCGAGGGGTGACAGCGCTTCTAAAGAAGGAAGGAAGGTGACACGAGGCACCTGGCGCCACGGCCACGAAAACGCGGCCGCATGTGCTGTCAGAGCTTTTGGCATCAAAGGGGGCCGTTTCGATCACAGGGGCCGCTCAAAAAGAACCAGCCCAGGTCTGTCGAGAGGAAAAGGGGAGGACAAGGGGGAACTTCCCACTGCCCCCAGCAAACGTCGAAAGTACTCGAAGATCTTTCCTCTCCCCTCACCTCCCCCACATGGTCGGGACCGTCCCGAAATCCCCAGAAACTCCTCTACACCACAACTCCCTCCCGTAAACAAATACGCAATGATCACCGACACCTTCAGCACCACCAAATCCTCCGCCCTTTCATCGCAAGAGGAATCCCCTCCTCCTCCTCCGCCCTAGAACACGCTAGTCCCCCCTAAGGCTCGCTAGAACTCCTTGAAGCCCCAGATGCTCTAAATCCCCTCCCTCTGGTCTCTTCTCGCCTTCCATGTCTTTCATGATGTTTCCTCTTCTCTTTACTTCGCACTCCTGGCTCCCCACTCCCCACTCCTCCTAATTCCTCCTTTCTCCTTTTCCCTAGAATGCCCTGGAAATGGCCAAGGTATTGCATAATCTCATGCAAAAACATACCACATCCTAACATATGTATTCCTCCTCCTTTTCCTTGTTCACCCCATGCCCCCGTAAGAAATTGTTGGGAAACGGTCAAATTATATGCAAATCTCCCTCGCCCACCTTCTGTATCCTTTTCCTCCTCCTTCCTCCCACCAGGACCATCAGAACTCCCCCGACACCTCCAGAATAATCCGAACCCGTTCTGACCCATCCCCCGAAACTGCAGGAGCGCTCCAGCGCCCCAAGTACCCCGTCAACAGCTAGAATAAGCCTGCAGGAACCTCCTCATTCTCTTCGCTCCTCTGCCTCCTCCATCTCTTACCCGCTGACCCCCCCTGAGACTCCCGGATGCCGCCTCGCGTAGTTCCACGTGCTCTACCACGATTCCTCCTCCTCTTCCTCCTTCTTCCTCCCTCCCTTCTTCCATCCTCCCCCTCTCCCTCCTCGATCCCCTCATCCATGCTGGCTCCGCCCTACCACCCCCCGTACGGAAGGTCCCTCGGGAGGGAAGCGGATGCTCACACGGAAACGCATTGCCGCCACTTCCTTCCAATATGTTCGAGGTACTGCAAGGCAAATGCGAAGGCCGGACCCTTGCTGCAGGACCATCCCTCCTCCGAAGACGTCGGGCCCGCCCCCCCCCCCCGCACCTCTTTGCAGGCCGGCCACCGCCTTCGCCGCGGCGGGCTTCCGCGGGGGCGCCTGCCCGCCAGGCTTCCCCCGACGACGACGAGAAACGACGACGACGACAAACGACGACGAGGACGACGACGACGACAAGCGACGACGACGACGACGACGAGGACGACGAGGACGACCACGATGACGACGATGACGACGTCGGCGGTTCACGCCCGTCGTCGACGGACGTGAAGCGCCGCCGCCGCGCGACGATGACGCCGTCGGCGGCGGGGTGCCAGCACGGCCGAGTGGTCTGTCAATACGACGTGGGCGCGCAATGAGTAACGCACACGAGCATGGCTGCGCAGGTGTACAAGTGCGACGGCGGCGCGGACTCAGTGACGTGCGCGCATGGCGAAGGAGGCCTTGACACGCCAAAACGAAACACACACACACACATCATGATGTGTGGGTCCGGCTGCGTAGGCTCACTGGTACGACGGCGACGCACATGTCATGACGCTCAACTACGAAGGCCTCTAAGTACGGGGAGAGAGAGAGAGAGAGGGAAAGACATATATATAGATATCTATATGTATAGAGACTAGAGAGAAAGAGAGAAATAATAAGCAAAAAGAAACGTAACATAACTACATATAGATATAGCGAGTGTGGGCAGGGGGGCTAGTGACATGAGCGTGGTCGGCATGCTTCTGCGCGGTCGTTCAATGTACCTCAGACAGGCTCGCATGATCAAATAATCAATGCTGGGCTGGCGGAGCCGCGCGCGGTTGGCCGTCTCGTCTTCGCAAAGCCCGAACCGGGGCGGGCCGGCAATTCGCCACAGGACACGCAAAGACACGCTGTTCAACATAATGCGGAAACCCCGCGTGGGGACCACAATGAGGGCGTTGCGGGGGGGCCGGTTCAAGATAAGGGAGAATGTGATCCGATACTTCAAGTCGAGGCTTACCGCGACAACTCCGAAGATTTCGCGCGCCAGCGGACCGTAATTTTGCAGTGCTTGGCCCTGAAAATTTCCACCAGCGGAGGCGCGGGGCCTGTCTGCGCTTCCCACGCCGCCTAAACATAACTTCTTTTTCTGGCGCGCGGCCGGCGATACCTCCATCGGGGGCGCGTCGTCGCTGCAGACGGGCGGTGGCGCCCTTCCCGCGATAGACCGAGAAACGACCCGATCCTGCCATATTTTTATCTGATGGTAAAATTAAAGATGTTCGTGAATAGAAAATGCAATCTCGAGCATCGCATCAATCACGCCATCCGGCCCCTTCGGTCGTTGGCGAAGGCGCCAGACTTATGCGAGACGGGGCAGGCGGCATTGCCCCTCGCGCGCCCGACGAGCATACATATATATATATGTATATATATAGCGAAAGAAAGAGAGATAAATATACAGAGATATATAAAACAATGAAAAGTAACTAGAGAGATGGAGATATTGAGAGAGAGAGAGAGACAGAGAGAGAGAGAGAGAGAGAGAAAGGGAACATCTCTATATACACACATATATATATATATCAATATATAGCGGCAGTAGAGAGAGGGGCGATCGAGGAGGAGAGAGAGAGAGAGAATAAGAGATAGAACGAGGCAGAGAAAGAGTGAGAGAGGGAGAGAGATGGACAGAGAACGAGAGAGAGGGAGAGACCAAAAGGAAAGAGATAGATATGCGATTTTCATATATATATATATATATATATATATATATATTTATAACGAGAGTGAGCGAACTAAACAGAGAGGACTTGAGAGAGAGAGAGAGCGATATATATACATATAACACAAATGATATAATGACATGTGAATGAAACTATGGGTCGAGACATGGAGAGCAGGAGAGAGAGAGAGAAAGAGTAAGAGAGAGAGAGAGCATTCTATTTGATGTGCATGCGGAAAAGAAAGGGATACCGACGCGTGCAACTAGAGATAACGAGAGGAACATCTATGTTAAACAGAGTGATACGCAAACACATGTATATATGCATTCATAGTGATAATGCAAAGGACTATGTAGGGGGAGAGAGGTACATATATATATAGAGAGAGAGAGAGAGAGATGGCACGCAATAGAGAGAGAGAGAGAGAGTGAGAGAGAAAGGGGGAGGGAGAGAGAGAAGAGAGAGAGAGAGAGAAAGAAAGAAGAGAGAGAGAGAGAATGATAAGGAGGTACAGAGAGAGAGAGAGAGAGAGAGCTAAATATAGAGAAGAAAAGACATGGATAACCGATACCAGCATGGACAAGAAGAGATCGACTAAACCACGCGCGCGCCCCTGCGCGCAGCGAGGCGCGCGCAAACGAGCGTGGGCCTCCCGTCGCCTGACTCGCTTGAGCCAAACTGGCTTGAGCCAAAATTGCTACGGACGACGACGACGACGATGACGACGACGACGACGACGACGACGGCGGCGGCGGCGGCGAGCGGCGAGCGACAGGGGGGCGGCCCTCGCGGCAGCGG